CTCCATGGCCTCTGCACCAGCTCCTGCCTCCAGGTTCCTGCCCTGTTTGTGTTCCTTCTCTGACTTCCTTTAGTAATGAATAGTGATGTGGGAGTGTAGATCAAATAAAGCCTTTCCTCCCCACACTGCTTTTGATCATGGTGTTTCTTTTCTTTTCTTTTTTGGTTTTTCGAGACAGGGTTTCTCTGTGTAGCCCTGGCTTGTCCTGGAACTCACTCTGTAGACCAGGCTGGCCTTGAACTCAGAAATCCACCTGCCTCTGCCTCACAAATGCTGGGATTAAAGGCGTGCACCACCATTGCCCGGTTCCAGTGTCCCATTTTACATGTGAAAAACCAAGCACAGAGAAGCTGAGCAAGCTCGTCTAAAATCACAAAACTAGTAAACGTAGGTGTCACAGTCTGGACACTAGAAGCTTGGTACCCAACAATACTGCTTTATCATTAAGACTGGAAGTCACGGTTAATGAGAGAGCCTGAGGACCACCTGTCAGGTCCCAACTCGCCATGTAGGGGCCCAGCCATGTAGCTCTTGAGATAATACAGACATGATTTACAGCAACTTTGTCTCCACAGTGTCATGGCTGCCAGTGCCTGTGTGTAAGTTATTATTCTTCATATCTGCATATGATTGTGTGTATGTGTACATCTGCACATGTGTGTGCATATGGTCTCTGGTGTTCACTCTGAAGCTGACAAACTTCCAAAGATGTCGCCACGCACCCTCTACATCTTGCTCCACACACTTTCCAATCAGTTGCTTTTGTTCTTTACCAAGTGACCCACATATTGGAGAAGCAAATAGTCCCAAAGCTCTAAACGAAGAACACTGGGCTGTTCTGTTCATAATTTGACAGCAACTTGAGGAGAATAAAATAAACACTAATTACACGTGACTTTAGAAAAATAACATTTCCCACAGAGAAAAAGAACAATGCATTGGAAGAGAGAGAGAAACCATATCATTGGATGTGGAAGTTCAAAAGATCTTCATGACACAAGGAGTTACCATCCCAAGACTGGCAATACTGTGTGAAGATTATACAGTGGGTGATTGACTCTGTGGGCCTCAGTTTCCTCATAGCCTTCATCATGGAGACATTTGTCTGGCAAAGTATCACAATACAGTCACTAATAGTCTCTGCCTCACCTGGCTTTCTTCTAGCTCATGGCTAGGAAAACAAATGTGCAAAAGAAGGTTTTCTCCTGTAGCCTTTTCTTCTCAAAGACAATAATGGCTTTAGCATCTATCAGCAGGAGATAGAGATGAATGAGGTTCCAAGACTCCTGGGAAGAGTCATAGAATGGCAACAAAGTCTCTGGCTTCAGACAAAGCTTCTGAACACATTAGAAATGTCCAAGCAGGGCTTGAGATACAGCTCATGGGTAGAGCAATTGCCTGGTATGCATGAGAACCTAGATTTGATCCCGAAACCTCAGAGGAATTAAAATTGCCAAGGTGTGTGGTGTACACCTTTAATCTTAGCACTGGGGATGCAGAGAGAGATAGATTTCTGAGTTCAAGGTCAATCTGGTCTACATATCAGGTTTCAGAACAATTGGGGATACAAAGAAAGACCCTGTTTTAAAACAAAATAAAAACTTAACGTTGAAATTATAAAACCTTTAAAAGAAAGTATACACCCAAATTCCAACTACTTGGGAATAGCCAGATTTAAAAAACATTAGTAATAATAATGATAATAATAAATCAATTGTATTTTATTAAAATAAAATGTGTATTTCCTAGAAGCAGCATCAATAAGTAAATGAAAGGGTAAATGGAATAGACTTTACTCACTTTTTGAAAAAGAATTTGAAAAGAATTGTATCCACCTAAAAATTTCACTCCTAAGGGCTAATCCAAGAGAAATCAAAATATGTCCACATAAAGACTAGAACACGAGTTTAGTTTTACCATGACCACCATCCACAAACAACTCAAATTTACATCTGAATAGATAAATGGAACTGTTGGTAATGCACATTTATAATCCCAGCATTTACGAGGCTGAGACAGGAGGATAGAATGAGTTCAGGTCTAATCTGGGGATAGAGATTAAGTTCCCCCAAAAAAGAAAACGAAAGGTGAAAATCCTATAAAGTATAAAGAGACAAGGGGATATTATTCAGGCATGAAAATGAGCAAACAATGGATGGAGAAAATGCCACTTGGGAGACTACCTACTAGGTGATGTCATTCATATAAAATTCTCCAAAAAAAAAAAAAAAGAAAAGAAAAAAAGAAAATCTGATCCCTATAATGCCAGAAGACAGGGAGGGGTTACCTATAATAATAATGTACCAGGAAACTTTGGGGTATGCAAAATGTGTAATATCTTGATTATGGTAGTTTTCCTTTAAGCACATTCATTTGCCCAAACCACTGCATCCCACTGAATATTTTATTGTATATTTACTCATATTCAGTCAAAGCTAATTAATTCTTTTTGGAGGAGTATGTCCCCTGCCCTTGTGGAGGAAGCTAATATGCTTCCAGAATTTTCTTCTTGTCTCATAAGACTTATTCTAGTAGCCGTTAGGTACCACTTCCTATTACCCTCCTATCACTTCAGATAGAGAACAGCCCTGTGAAATCTGCATCTGAAAGAGATATCTGTGGTCATTACAGTATCATTCATAGTAACTAACATATAGAAGCAATGGAAGTGCCCTCGAACAGATGAAAATGAGAAAATGAGATAAATTGGCACAGTGTTATGCCATTTGGCAGGAAAAAGAGTAAGAGTCTATAATTTGAAATGGTGTAAATGTCATTGTGCTAAGTAAAAGAAGCTAAGCATGGAGACAATCATCACATGACCTCACTGATAAACAAAATTCAAAATGTGGAGCTCTGAGCTCACAGAGTGGGGAGTAGAGGGGTAGTGACAAGGTGGCTAAAGAGCACGAAGTTTCAGATCAGCATAATGATTAAGTTCTAGGTATCTATTAAGGAACAAGGTGAGTATGGGTTACTTAAGAACTGCTAACTCGATGTTCTCTCTACAATGAAATAACAAGTGCATGTGTCATACAACTTGATTTAATAAGTATCATAAGCATATAAACTTTTGTCAATTACTGCTTAATAAAGTTGGTGGGAAATTAACCACATATCAACAATCCTGGAGCTCTTTACGACATTTAGCCAGGAATAAGTCTCTTGGAAACCATCATCGCAGGGGCTTCCACCAACCCGGGCCATCTTTAATTGCATACCCACTCTCCACACTGTGAAGAAGCCACTGCTGCTTTCTTTTGGATAAATGACTGGGCCAACAAAACGGGTTGAGCTGAAATACAATCATAGGCTCAGAAGGAATCTACAAGCTGTCTGGTTTGTTCTACTTTCTCTAAGCCCAACCCCGCTTCTGTTGATCAGAAACACCTAAGGAGTGTTATGTGCTGTGCCTTGAGCTGTTCACACAGCTAGAACTCACTTATCCAACACTTCCTAGGTGCCAGGATATAAATTACTGTCACAGTGACCCTTTGAGAGGGTACAATTGCCATCTCAATCTCCATCCTGTGGGTGGCAAATCAAAGAGCAGGATGCTGAGGTGACTCTCCCATTGTCACAGAACCCAGGGTTGTAGGACTCAGAAGCCATTAAGCCTTTATCATATGATGCTGATCCCTGATTTTGGCAGGATGACAAAGAAGCTCAAGATTAGCCACGCAGGGAGGCAGGACTCTAGCTCGTTTGAACAGGCTTTGGAAAGACCTCTTCTGCGTTCTTCTTTTTGACCTATACTTTTCCAACCTAAAAGCAGCTGAGTCTTTGTGATTAACATAATATTTCCAGACTAAAGGGGCCCCGCTAAATCCCTGATTCTTGCTTTGTAGAGAGAACATGAATGGATGCTTTGAAAAGTTCTAGGAGGAGGAGGAAGCAAGAACTTGATGTCCATTCCCTCTCTGCAAGAACCCATTCCCTCATCTAGTCTGGTAGTCACTTAGCAGTCTTGTAAGCAGTCTAGAGCAGATGCTACACAAAGTATCATGCTGGGATGGGATAGATCCTATTCTCAATGCTGAGTTCTGATAGTTACCACCTACCTTCACTGACTTCCTGGTTGTTGCCAAATTCCATTTCCTGGTGTGGACCATTCATTACAATAGCAGCTGGCCCTGTCCAGCTTCCTGGTGTGGCCCATTCATTATGTCAACAGTTGGCCCTGGCCCTGGTATGCCTCTGAGATCTGCTTCCCTGATGGGTGGAGGGAGCATGGTTCTCTTGAGGTAGGGGTCTGAACAATCATTCAGGAAAGAACCAGTCTCCCCTTTGCTGCTCTCCTCCACCCCTCTGGGTATGCTGTAAGGAAATGGCGAAATAATGGGCTGGGCCTCACCCCTGGGACCCTTAGCAAATTGTTCCTCCACACCCCTCTTGCTTTCTAATGAAAAGAAACTGTGTGTGTGTGTTGGGGGGGTGACATCTAGGACAATTTGAAAACAGAATCGAGTTTGTTCTATAAAATAGGCTCTACGTTTGTATTATAAACAGTGGCATTATGACACAGAGATTGGAGCCAAAGAAGCATGAACAGCTTGTTCCTAAAAGTCTTGGAATGTGAGCAAACATGAACAAGTGAGTGGTTGGGCTTCCACAAGCTGAGGGGCTGAGCCCTTGGAGATGGAGAAGTCCTAGAAAGCTGAGCCTTGTCTTAGGTCTCACGAATAGTAGGCACACTTCACACAGAGACTTACATCTGTCCTACTTGGTCACTTACGGTAGTCACACCATAACCCTGCATTCAGAACAGTGCTTGGTGTGGCAAAAGCTTTCCAAATTGTTCTGAACAGAAGAATAAAGGTTTGAAGAAAATGATACTGAGATCTTTGCATCGCAAGAGACTGTCTCGATATCCATAATCTGGAGTTTTTCAGGTTTTTTTTTTTCATTAATTTTCAGGAGGAATTATTTAACAGTCCTTTATACATAACTGAATAAGTGAGAATTACATCTATCTAATCTGATTAGAGGTCTATTAAAAAACACCTAGCATTGCAGGTGTGGCTGCTGTGTCACATGTACGTCAGTAGGCGGCAGAGAGGAGAGAGGCTATGTCTGTGCCCAGTGATCTGACCAATGAATATATGAATGATTAGTAGCCTAACATTTCCTGAAAAGGGGGGACCTGAGACAACCACCAGTCCAAGCCAGGGGGCTCAGATAGGGGGCTAGCCCGAGACAACCACCAGTAGGGATGGCATTGCACAGGGCTGGAACAGGCACACAGTGCCCAAGATGACCCCAGACACTCCGAGATCCCGGAGCCACTTAGAGAATCAAGTGGTGGATAAGTGGAAGAGGAAGAGAAACAGAGGGATGTGGGCACAGTGAAGAGAGGCAGAACCGGAGACACAAGGTGTCGCGAGCAGGGTCTCTTATCCATCACGAGCAAGGGGTTTGAATCTCCCGCGGGGAGAGGAGTGACAGGTCCTGCTCCACTCAGGGATCGTATACTGGATTTGACTGTGAGATCATCAGCTCCTCGAGAGGGAAGAGAGTATGCCAAGAGACAAAGAGTTTGTGGAATTCAGTTACTTCTTTAATGATAATGCACAGCAAGCAAACACAAACACAAATGCTAAGGCTATTGCTACAACAAGATATTGTCACATTTCCTATAGGTTGCCTCTAACAATGTGCATAATTAACACAAATAATAAGTTGCTAATTACCAAAGAAATAAGCATAGCAATAGACAAATCATTCATTCATGGATTTTACGACCTGAGTCCTTATGTTGGTTTTGGGTTACAGGTCCGGAGTCCGGTAAGGCGGGGTCAGGCTGTGGCTTCCAGATAATTTGACCTCGTAGGGTGCTTGACCACAAAGAAGCTGGAGGCATTGGTCTCTGTGTTTGAAGTCGGAGCTTGGCCATGAAGTTGGAGGCGTAGGTCTCTCAGTTAACTCTTTGATGACCGGGTGCTGAGGAGGCTTTGTCCGGAGGATCACATTGGCCAGACATGGCTACAAGTGTGATGAAGTGCTCCGGACAGGCTCCTCTTTTATGCTGAATTTGGAGTTACTGATGACGTACATGGCAGATAACCACTCGTGTCTGGTTATCTCAGCACAGCCTCATTTCCAGACTTGCCTTTACAAGTACCAGACATGTCCAGACATGTCTTACAAGTTTCCTATTACAAAATGGAGTTGGTCCTGTTTAAGGGCCTGCTCCTTACACAAGGGTAGTGAGGAACAGCCTGATGTGAGTAGCCAGTGATGCCTCCTGGGATCACAGTGGGGCCCTGGCGTATGCTGTTACTAAGGGCCATGTCTGGATCCATGGTTCTGCAGCATCAGGGGTCTGTTACCACCAAAGGCCAGGCAGAAGTCCCTGATTCAGGTCACCACCCAGAGACATGTTGATGTCTGAGGGCTGGGCAGAATTGGCCCCACCCCTCACCTGGGAATCATGGGAAAGTGTGACATCAGGAGAGCTGACCTTTGCACCTCGACAGCTGCAGCACTAGGGAGAGCCGCCTGCACATTTTCAGAGTTGCAAGTGAGCCAGCCCCTGAGAAGAACATCATGGGAGACATGGCTCTACCCCGTGTCTCCCAAGCAGTGGTGTGGATAAGACAGATGTGTCCTTCTCCCTCCTCATCCCTCACCATGTCTCATGACTTGGCCCTGGGGTCGTGAGAGCTGTTTCTTCTCTTCACCAGCTGTGGCGCTCTGGAGAGCAGGCTCTGTACCATGCCTGGGCAGCTCAGTAGAGCAGGCCCTGGGTAAGAGGGTTTCCAGTGATCAGGCCCTGAGGGCATGAGTGTGGGAGAGTTGCCCTGCCCCTTATCTGTTATGTGGTGGCTCTGGTGAGGAAGAGATCCCCTCTTCTCTCTTTTGCCCTTGCCACAAATGGCAAGCAGGAGAGCAGGCTCCAAGGTCATTAGAGCAGGAGAGCTGGCCCTGCCCCTCACCTGCTGGAGAGAGAGCACTCTGTGCCTGACCTGGGCAGCATAGTAGAGCTGACCCTCAGCTAACTATAGCTTCCATAATGAGATTTTTTTCTATGTTGGGATGGAGAGGTTACAAGGGTGAAAGGTGGGTATGAGGGGAGAGGGAGATGAATGGGATTATGTCAAAGATGTGAGATTCATGAAGAACCAATAAAAAAATTTAGAAGAAAAGAAAGAAAGAGAGAGAGAGAGAGAGAGAGAGGGAGAGGGAGAGGGAGAGGGAGAAGGAGAGAGAGAAAGAAAGGAAGGAAGAAAGAAGGAAAGAAAGAAGGAAGGAAGGAAAGAAAGAAAGAAAGAAAGAAAGAAAGAAAGAAAGAAAGAAAGAAAGAAAGAACACACCCAGGCTTTGTCTGAAATCTAATCCCATCAGAGGGCAGATACTTATCCCCAGAACTGTTAAACTATTTCTCACGTTTTTGAGAATGGGTTGTTGAAGCACATTCCAGCACAATACCGGCCTTTGCTGGCTTTGAAGCCATCTTCAGTAGATAAAACCACACCATGTTTTATTTTCCTCTGCTCTGTTTTGCTTCATAGAAGTTGTGTTACTTACAAACTAAAGGTTTGTGGCAGCGTTGTGTGGAGTGAGTCTTTTGGCATAATTCTTCCAAAGGTTCAGACGATTACATGCACTTTTGTGAAATGAAGTGTGTATTAGTTCTTCTTGTGGATGTGACAAAACACAAGCTGTGCCTGACAGGAACAGTTCAAGGGAGGGGTAGTCTTAGAAGGAACAGCCATTGTGGGAGAAAGGTATGGTGTGGGAGTGGCTCAGTCCACACTGGCAGAAGGAGGAGGTGGCTCACCAGAAAGCAAAGAGCTCAGTTGGCATCAGAAGTAGATACACCTGTGTCACCCCCACACCTCAGAAATATACTTACTTCTGATGGTGAGACCACAATTGTCAAAGATCGCATAGCCTCCTTTGGATCCTAATCACAGCACCAAGTGTCGAAAGACTAGAGCCTATCGTAGGCGTTACAGGTTCAAATCAAAAGGGGATCTAAATTAAGAAATCTAAGATCTAAAATAAATCGCTTATATGGAGTACTTTTGTAGACACAGCATAATGTAAACAAAACTTTGTTTATGCCCTGGGAACAAGTCCTGTAACTCACTTCATTGTCCTGAAGTGCCATTGAACAGCAGTACCAAGAAGTATGCTAGGAAATGACCCGTTCCAGTATACAGACCTACCTAAGAGCCCCATGGGTTTGGTTCCAGATGTCTTACACAGGACAGATACTGCAATAAAATGAGCAAAGGAGGAAGGAGATGGATTTCCTCCTAAGTCTTTGCTCCATCTCTGCCCCCACCCCCAACACACACGTAGAATTATCTAGTCTTCAACGTGAGTGACACTAGTCACCTGTCAAAGAAAACAGGAAGTTAAGCTTCGTTTTGACAGGAGCTGTGTCTCTGAGTGAGGCTGCCCACATGCTTGGTTTGAGCTGTTCCTCTTATGACTCACTCATAACCTGAACTTCTCTGATGTAACAAACTCTTGGAAGTTCTGTTGAACGGACAAATACTTCCCAGGACAGCCTGAGATGCCCAGACAATGTAGAAAATGCAAATTGACAAAGATCAGATTAACCCAGCAGATGTTAGAAAATCTGGGCCTTTAATAAAAAAAGCATGCCTAGGATATGCTCTGACAGCTCTTTTGGGACATTGCTTTTCTGTCATACTGAGTCTTTAAGCTGTGAACATAAGCACAAGAACCACGGTGCTGAAAGGAGCCTGAAGTACAAAAACAAGCTGCAACAAGAGAGCCAGCACATCCTGCAATGTTTGCAGAAACTCCCTAGGGCCTAAGGTTACATAAAATTCAACGGAAAACACAACACACCACCCTCTGTACACGCTTTCCCTACTGTAGAGTTTTATAATCTTTGAACTCGTCTTTGTTGCTTGTGAAATCCATCTTCCTTGAAGATGCCTCTTCTGTTTTCATGGGTTCATGGAACAATTCCTTGGATGGGTGGGGGGTGGTCGTTAGAGGTTAGAGTTGTGTGTTCCAGAACCTTCTGCCTTGAGCTTTAGGCCAAATGATCTCAGAAAACATATTCCTAATCAATTAAGGTCAGAGATTAAGTTGTGTGTTCACACTCTAGAGATGCAGACTTATGTGTGTACTATGCATTTATTTAAAGGACTCCTGTCCTTGAGCGCAACAGGAATGATGCTGCCTCCTAGTGGAAGAAAAGGGAAAATCAGGAGAAATAGCCGTTTGCTTTAAGTAAGGTCAGATGTCAGACTCTATATTAAAAATGAAAGCTCCAATCTCTCTGCTCCTTAGAGTTCTGATTTTTGTAAGATTTTTACAAAGTCTCTTTCTAAAGGTCTGCATCTTTCCTTTGGTAGACCATTCAACGCTGCCAACTGACATGTTTTTGATAACTTCCTATTCGCTGGAACATGTGTAGAGAAGCACAGGCAATGCTAGGTAGGGTTTCTGCTGCTCCTAGAGCACATATTACTCACTTGGAAAGACTAGCATCCAACTTAAAAGCAATGCAGAACAACCAAATCTTTGTCTGTGTGGATCAGTCTCCTGTATGGAGTCCATTGGGAGCATAATCTCTTAGACTCTGCCCACAGAAGCAAGCTCAAACTACTCACTTTGGCTTCCAAAGGTTTGGCTAACTCCTTGCTACTTTTCCATTACATTCTGTTTGAGCACAGCTTTAGAGTAGTCCTCTAGGGGAGCCAGTTTTAGGCTTATCACTAGAAATCTAGCCTGAAGTAGAGGACAACATTGTTAGAACTCAATTGGAAAGTGGATACATTCCTTTGATACACTGTGTCCTAACTAGGGTTACTGTTGCTGTGACAAAACACTGTGACCAAAAGCTGCTTGGGAAGTAAAGGGTTTATTTGGCTTACACTTCTACATCACTGTTCTTCATCGAAGGAAGTCAGGGCAGGAACTCAAACAGGGCAGGAACCTGGAGGCAGGAGTTGATGCAGAGGCCATAGGTAAATGTTGCTTATTAGCTTGCTCCTGGTGGCTTGCTTAGCCTGTTTTCTTATAGAACCCAGGATCACCAGTCTAAGGATGGCACCTCTCCTGTCAATCACTAAAAAAATGCCCTACAGCCTTACCTACAGCCCTATCTTATGAATGTTCTCAGTTGAGATGCCCTCAT